GGCTCTATTTATAATACAAGATTATCATTGGATAAGTAATTATCTAGTTATACATATTAGACTATTATCTAATTTTATGCATTCATTAATTCAATGATTATGCAATTCATACAATGGATCATACTATACAAACCTGATCGTATTCTCAGCACTACAAATTCCAAGGATACCAACTAACCTATATTATGAGCTAGATCTCCAGAACTTTGACCCCAAAGTTACATCTTATGCAAAACTAATTTATCTACTTAAATTGTCTTATTCGCAAAATAACTACATGTTTACTAAGCTAATATTATCCATATTTCTATAAGCAATCCTAACACTAATCCCATATGTAACCCACATGCATTATTACCAATTCCAACAAATCAATATAGTGCCTATTATATATTATCACACCAGAGCTAACAATGATGGTTAGTATTGCATGACTTTATAGGATTTGATAGTTCAACATTATCATATTTTTCAACATCCTTATTGAAACCTTTATTCCTTGTTGATAATACTGTCCAACACTATACATTCCATCATACTTAACATTGGAAACTGTTGTTTTGAAATTTACGTCTCTATCCAGCATTACCTTGGGTTCGATTGTTAGGGATATCTTGTCATTCAATACAGGTAGGCGGCCAATTTCTTTGTATTTTATTTAGGCAGTATTATCATTCTTACTTTGGCTAATTGATAACTCTTCATAACTATCTATTTTGCATATACTTATTATACCATTTTCATAGTTCACGCTATTGCTATCAGGCCCAGCTTCCATCAACGTCACCAGCAATCTTTTTATTATTACATCCATTTCACAATTATGTTTAATGGTGCTTATATTATTACCATCACTCCATCTTGGTTATAATGTCCAGGAACAGGTAATTTATCAGAATTAACCATATTAGCAGGTTTTTGATAATGAATAAATATTTTATATTCATCCTTTTCAATACAAATTTCCTTTTCATAACAATATCTAATAGTATATGTTCCGCTACTATTATCTTTATCAGCAGGTTTTTGATAATAGTCAAACACCTTATATTCATTCTTATCAATTCCAATTTCAATTCTATATTGATAACACAGTTCAAGATCATTTTGTACCATTAAACCACTTTCATCAGGTGTCTGATAACAGACATGTGCTTTGTTCTTATTTCTTTTAACTCTATTGCCTTTTTCATAACAATGTCCAAGATTATTCTGTTTATCAGTTTCAGGTTTGTCTTCTGAATTTACATCTTTTATATCTGATCTCCTTTTATTCCATTTATTAATACTCTAATTTTTCCTTCCATCAAAATCCATGTGTCTAATATCCACATTATCTTTAACCATTTTATCAACATTATCGATCTCATGATCAATATCTTTTGGGGCTTCATCATTTACTATTTGGACATCAGGTACGTGTTTTTCATGTCGTTTTCTGTCAATGTTTATTTTATTTACTATGCTAATGACCCTATTTTTTTTCTTTACATAATTGAACCATTACAACTATTGTTCCACAATTTGCCTCTAATGTGCTTCATATTTGCAACATCATTGTCCTTGACCTTCTCCTTTAACTGTTCCAGAATACCTTTATGATAGCTTCAATATTTACAATGCTTTTCTTCTTCAATTTCTATGTGACATACTTCCATATATTTAATATTTAGGTGTCAATTACAAGCTTGATCTTTCAAAGAACACCAACAAGCCATATGCTTTTTATGTTAACATACATAACATAGATGCATCCTACGTTTTTCTCATTTCTCTTGAACTATTTTTAAACATTCCAGGACTTCTGAACTACCAGTTTTACCAATGTAGCCAGGTAGTTTGGCCTCTTTATTCTCTTTGTTTAACCACTCAGGTAGACTTTACTTTGTCCAACTCTAACAATATCAATTTTGCCACCAAGGCTTTGATCACAAGAATTCAACGACTCTATTCATCTAGCCAACTTTGGTTTTACAACTCTACTAACTTTGGTCTCATGTTTCTACTGACTTTGGTCTCACGTCTCTACTGACTTTGGTCTCTACGCTTTATCAATCTTTGGCCTCAAGCTTTACCAATCTTTGGTCTCAACTTTTTCTAATCTTTGGTCTCAACTTTCATCAATCTTTGGTCTCAATGCTTTACTACCTTCGGTTCTACAGATTTACCATCTTCGGCTTCACAGACTACCACTTTCAGTTTTATAGCTTTACTTTCTTTACTTATTTCTGCGAGTAAGACCTTTCTCTTGTCTAGGTCCTTGTGTTATGTACTAATCTCACTAAAAGATTATTCACTTTGCTTGAGTTTCACTTGACTGGTAAATCGTACCAGATCTTCTATCTTGTTAGATATGTACATGAATGTTTGGCCACTTGTTCACTTAGAACTGTTTCTTAATTATACTAAAAACTACTTTTTTGCTTTATTAGAGATGCCTCTATTTATAA